GTGTTACTAGAGTAAGAAAGATATCTTTAATTATTTAAATATAGCTTACGTTATAGTTAGACTGTACAGACATTTTAATTAAATTGATATAAGTTATTGAAGAAATAGTTTACGTGACATACAAGCTTCTTACTCAAGCTTCTATGACGCCCATTGAAACATTTGTACTGCACACATATTAATCAATCATGAGTATTACCAAACATAAAAGTTAGAATTATTCATTCAGAGTCTTTTCATTCGATTAGCATTTAGCACATGCACCTCCTACACAAAAGGCTAACTATTATAGGATGAGTAGATAATTGCAAAAATGCGACATTTAAATCAAAACCATTACAAAATTTGTTAAGAAGTATTTTCTGTTTTTGAAAAGCGAACCTAGAAGAGACTTCTTTCCTATGAGACTGCTCATACTTTTCTAAGTGCAAGTGATAACTATCGCTTGTTTGATATTATACAGAAAAAGTAGATTTCGCGAAACACGATCTAAAAGTAGCGTTGACTTAGAGAGATTAAACTTTTGATCTCCCATCGGCGGCAGACCATGACAAACATTATTATAGAAATGCCGTAAATAGTCACAAAGACTTAAACAACGTCCTCTTCTCCCTATCACAAACCCTGATGGACACCCAAGTGAGCTAAAAAAGACGTGCGAAGGGTGCGCCGAGCCCTCGACCTATCGGAAAATGGCAAACCCAGGGGTCGATTTGAAATTTCGATGGGTCCAAGGCTAGATGGTGAGTAACTTGATAGTTAGCAGAAGCATAGGATCGAAGTTTTCGTAATATGTATCGTGGTGCTATCTGGAGCACGAGGTCTGCCCATCGGAATTTCAAATCGACCCCTGGGTTTGCCATTTTCCGATGGGTCGAGGGCTCGGCGATGGGTATCATAGAAGACATCGACGGTGGAAAATCGAGGGGTCGAAATGCCTATCGGATGGTCGGTTGGGCACATTAGTGGTGCAGCTTCTCGCTTACGGATAGTGACAGATACTTTATTGTTGTCGTCTTCTGCTGATGAAACATGACGAATATACTCGTCATATCGAATCCTTCTGCAAGATGAGTATAAAACATGATGGAATCTAAGATAACTATCCTTTTCTCTTCTTTCGCACTGACTGTAATGTGTAATGATTATCATCGTTCATCATTGGCATACATCAATAGTGAGTAGGATTTCAAAAACTGGAAGCTATGTTGGTTGGTTATTTCTTTTACAAAATTGGCAGCTCTATCGTGTTTCACATTTCAATCCTACAGAGATTGCTCCAAGAGCTTTTCTTCACTTTCTGTCACAAGATAGATAAGGAAAAAGTTTTCTTTCAATAGTCTATGTATGGAGCGCATTAAGCAGTATTAAAATGTTGGATTCCAATCTACAAGCCAATCATGCACTCATATAACTAAATCTCATCGCATAAGAACAATGCATACTATATACAGTCGTTCAAAAGTAACCACAGTCGATACCCTTAAGCATAATTTGAGTAAATATTACACTATGTGCATCGGAAGAAATAGAAAGGCAAAAAGAATGGCAGAAGTAAGCATCAAAATAATCAAAATTTTGCCTTAATGGCAAGAAAAAAGCCTGAAAGACCTTTCTCCTATTTAGCGACGAAAAAAATTCTTCCTTCCTGAGAGCTGCACACTCAAGTATATGCTGAATGAAACGAAAATTACGCGATATGGTCGGTGAAAGAAGTATTTACCATTTTCTTGCATTAATGTCATTGAGGCTATTCGTTTCTGATTGGTTGCTCACTATATATAAATTGATGTATGGCGCAGCAACATGAAGTTGTTTCGACATTTTCCACAGCTCAAATCGACGTTGTCATGTTTTACTGCAAAATGCTGTTTGTTTAATGCGTAAATTGGTTACGTGGAAAATTTTAAAAAGAAACAGAAGCATCGAAGGACGACAGCAATGCGCACCTTCATTATATCAACAAAACAAATGCATGTGAGTGTGCAGAATGAGAGAAAAAAGAGATCAGAAGTAATGAGAAAATAAAATGCACTGCACTGAGTTTTTGGTCTCGCGCTTACTACAAGTTTACAAGCATATATACTATAATTTTTTTTAATTCATCTGCTGCAAGTTCATCGATATAGGTCATCAACAATTGAGGTAAGCTTTACCTGTAGACAAATGACAAAAGGCCGTTTCTTTCGATGCTTATCGTGTTATATTCTTAGCTTTGTTTCGTTCAATCACTTTTTGTGTACCTATTTTTGTCTGAAAAGCTTCTGATAAATTCTCTGCAGATATATTTACAGTTTGTTTTCTGAATTCTTTCTATCATAGAGCCCCTTGTCTTTCCTCTTCCTCCAGCAGTAGTGTTAAATTATTCCATTTTAGAAGACCATAAGAAGAATCGCTTCATGAGAAGTTTGTGTTTTCCCTATCAGAAATAGCCAAAATTTTGACTAATTTTGATAGATCATAGTAGAAAAGTATAAATCTAGCAATAAAAGAAGAACAACTTATTTCAATCTAATATATCGAAACGTCTCTTGTTTTCTTGGATATGGCCACGTCTCGAACATATGATGAATATAGCGCGTGGCATGACAGATATTTCTTACATTTACGATTAAGATAAAACTCTTTTTTATTATGCATTTCTTCAATTTTCTTTACCCAGCCAATAGGTGACACTTTGAAATTAATTACTCAATCACAAAGAGTGCTACTAAGTAAAACTCTACTTTAAGCATTGTTTAGCTTCAGATTTTCAGCTTGGTAAGCATGTATCAGCTAAGTGTTATTAGAATTGCATACATCATGTGGTCACACATTTATATTTAAAAGGATTACTTATAGCACTCTTAATTGTACTTCTAATATTCTTTCCAGTCTATGATATTATCAAGATATCTACTTAAAAACTAGTGTCTTCAGTTAACAGCATGCACTTATTGTAAGTCTATGTAAAAGGCTATGCTCTTCACTAGTTCATTATTTCAATAGTTCCCGATGAAAACATTAATAATGAAAGATATTAGGTTTATATTTTCCAGGAAAACTTTTGATTGAAACATAAGAAACGATAAAAGAACTCAGATCAATCAAAACGAATATCATTTACGGTCCATTTTCTGACAGAAAACGGTAAGAAAACGGCATCTTTACGGCAGTAAACTGTCCGTATCTTCACGCAATACTGATTGCAGTAATATGCCACTGTAAAGTGTACCTTATATTCGCCGTATAGAATCATATATATGACGCAATCTTAGTACGATACAGCCGTATTTCTGCATCCAGTTTCATGACTGCATACGGTCCGTTGACATATCGTATTTTCACTGTAAACAGCTATATATGGACTGTTTTTTTTTTACTTGAGAAGTTGAAAGTTCTGAACCAGTGTCTGGTTAAGAAGACGTTCTTATAGTTATTCGACATAAAATTCATCATTAATTAGAGTCTTCTCACTTCTGGTAAGAGAATCACTTACAGTTCTCAAGACGGCTTTAAAATCGATTTATTAATACTTAGTGATTTTACTTGCATGAGGTTTTCTTTTTCTGTCAGAGTTTGCTAAAGATGTCTTATTGTCTCTGTTCAATAATAAAGACTTCCATGTGTCATCGCACCATGTTAAATCATCCGTGTTTGAAGATGTTTTATAGAAAACTAAAACATTCTTTTGTGCATATTTACAGAATAAACCTTTTACTGATGATGGTTCTAATATGTGGATACAGTTTTAGAAATACTAAGTCGAGACTAATGACATTTTCATAATAATTAAATAATAAGCTTTGGAGGTATATAAAGTATGCAGGCAACATGGCTAATAAAAAATAAGAGAGGATGCAGCTCTTTGCTGTGCATCGTATAATTTTGGCAGATATCTGGAACTTTTTCTAGCTATCATAGACACATCTTATCAGATATTTCTGTCTATGATAGTTTATAGCGCAGAAGGAGGAAAAGAACATTGAGAAACGGATAAAATGTTCTCATGATAGCCTGTAAGTCTTATGTATCTTCGTGTTTTTGAGAAAAGTTACATTCGTAAACAATGAATTGTGTAGCTCGGCTTAGTTAATGCTCTTGTTAGTAGTAAGCTATTAAAAATCTGACTTTGTATCTAGTAATAACGATTTCTAGATAAACAAAGTAGCGTTTTCTTTCAGAAAAATAATGCTTCGTTGGTTTTCATGCTAATTTGGAAGGACAGTTTTACTCGCTATATTTAAGCATAAAAGTCGAAAAAAGCATTCGGAAGCCTTGCTCATAGTAGCTTTATTTGCATAAGCCGGCTTCTTCTTTGTGAGTGTCTGCCTTCGACCATATGTAATAGAAAAATGCATTCAGTGATTGACATGATTTGAAGTGCTTTTTTTTCTTTCTCTCTGTTTATTTATCCCTGGGAGAATAAAGAGCCACGAAGCTCTCCTTGTTTGCATTCTATACCATTTGCTCTTTATGCTTTTATTTGCCTATCTATCGCTGTCTCTTTCTTATTCGTCCGTCAGGGCCTTCATCTTTTTTTATCTGTAGAATGCATGAATTTTGCGCGAGAAGGAGTCTTTCATCGTTCTTTCTTGTTTTCTTTCTCAGACATGTTATTCTTCTCGTGCTATCATTATTTCTTCTCGTTCTTTTTCTTTTCTCATCGAATAGGGTGTAATGACATTTATCGGATCGTTTCATACATCTAAAGAACATGATTTCTTTTTCTTTTTCTTTTTCTTTTTTTACTTCTTTCGTTCTGTACGTGCATGTGCGTGTATTGTTTACCAAGATTATTTGCATTGAGCTATGTCGCTAGTATCGCACGGAATAATATTACACTATTCTTTGATTAGAATAGGCTCAAAAATATTATATTACTTTTATTCTAGATTCTATTGTTTCTTCCATATTAGATGAATTAGTGATTATTTCATTTTAATTTGATATATCGATCACAAGAAGGTATTTCCATTACAGTATGCTTTCAGTTACTTAAATTAGTTTTATTTTTCTTCATGTCAGCATATCTGATGATGGTCAAAAGCGAACAAGTGAGGAGCACTAATCATTTAAAACGAATTGTGCCAATCGGATCAACTGTATCTCTTCCATCACAATCATCTATATTTCCAACAACATCAATCGTCATTTCTCAACGATCACCTGATATACATGCAATTGATATATCTTCAATCAAAGGCCGATTTGCATGGGAAAAAATAGCGCTTGGCGACACCTACATGCCTGTTATTTTTCGGTATGTAAACATCATTTTTAATTTATTAATGTTTTTCAAAGAAATTTAGTCAATAAAAACTGTTCTAAGATATCATTAACATTATGAATTAGTTTGATGAGATTAACAACGTTGTTAGTAGCTCCATCTTCATATCGTAGCATTGCTCAAATAACTATCGATTGAATGAATGACACATACGTCTCAAAACAAATAAAGCAGAATGAGAAAAAAAGTATATTAGACATGCATATACAGCAGTGTGAAGCATTAATAAAATCGCATTCTTTTGCGTTCTTTGCAATCTATGCGACAAATGTATCCAATAGGCTTGTTTTTTTTTGTTTTACCTTTGGGATAAGATTTTCAAGGATGTATGCCTAAAATGCGTTGCATTGATTATACGACTGGAAAAATATTTTATAGTGCAGTTTTTGCTTTTTTGCTTTTCGTTCTGACTACTTGTTATTTTAGTAAGATGTATTTTCGTATACAAGCTTTGCTCATTGCAATGATAGAGTATAAAGCGAGATATATCATGTATAGCATTCTTCATCGTTGACTGAAAATAAATGGCCTTATGAGGAAAAAAGAAATACACGACACATGTGTAAACAATACGTTTCTAATAGAAAATACTGATGTAGTATAGAGTGATCTAAAACCAAGCAATAATTCCGATTACTTTCGTGATACTCGATCTATTATCTGTTCTTTACGCTGTAAAATCCTAAGCAAAATAAAATAAACACATTTAAGCATTGGTCACAAAAAGAATCAAAATCATCTGATGACTTTCAGTCAGTTCATATGATATCGACAAGATTCATCGTCAAAAAAAAATCTTCACAGGACTATGTCACTAAGCTGTATATGCAACCGTTGAAAATGAAACTAATAAAATACTGTGAAGATAAATATTTCCTATGTTAGAACTATTCAATCTATTTACTATTATAAAGAATACAGAGGCGTATTGTATAGCAAAAAAGTGTGCACTAAAGCATTTCCGCATGACTACAATATATACTTGAAATAAAATGAACGCGAGTGAAGAACTCTCAAAAATCAATATAAAATCTAGGAAAAAAGCATTTCTATTTTCTGAATAATGGATATCTTTCATTGGCTATAAATAATTGATGTTTATAGTCAGAGTATATTCTCTTAAAATAAGATCAAGGTCAATATTAACAGATAACTTGCAATTAGTACTTAATGAGTTTCCTCCGTTAATATTGTTAAGAAAAAAAAATTCTTCGGCATGTTCGCATGCTCAATAGATATCTTATTGCACAGTACTTATACTTTATTATCATTTTTAACATTTCATTACTGATAAAAAAGACAAGTTGATATATATCCCCTGGAAAAAAATAGTTAGACTCGGTATTTCGAATATATTTCCACTATAAGACCACACTTTTTTAAAAGTAATTGCATATTCTGAAAGTCCGTGGAGTTTTCTATCACTCTGTATAATTAGGTTTTAGTTTCGACCTATTCATTATCAAAATAAATTGAGAACAATGAAAGCACCCTCGTGTCCAGATTCCCCACAGACAGGATTTTGTATCCTCAACTAGTTTTTTAAACTTTTCGACTATAGAAATATCCTTCTAAAAAAAAGTAATTATGTATTCTGATAGAGCTTGAAATTCTCTATCATCCCATATATTTAGCTATTGCCTTACATTTATTTGTTAAACAATAATTTGAGTACAATGAACGCACGCTCAATCGACAAATATCAAAAATCTGCATTTTTTCGCCACTTTTTTTAGTTTTCCCTCCAATTATTATTCCTATAGGAATAATTTTTTCCAAAAGAAATTACATATTCTGATAGCGCTTGAAATTCTCTATCATCCTATGTATTAATGTAGTGTCTTGAATTTAAATAGCGAAAAAAATGCAGATTTTTGATACCTGTCGATTCACGATGTGTTCATTGCACTCAAATTTTTTTTAAAATAAATCAATATAAGAAAATAAATAAATATACAGGATGATAGAGAATTTCAAACTCTATCAGAATACATAATTACTTTTCTCAAAAGATGGTACTATATGATAAAAAATTTAAAAAACTAATTTTGACGACAGTGACAAATCAAGTTTATGGGAATCTGAACATGAGGGTGCCTTTATTGTACGTGAATTTGTTTTTTAAGGAGAATTGCAATCCAAAATGTTTATATATAGTTTTGTAGAGAACTCTTCGGCCTATCCGAATATATCCTTACTTTTTCAAAAAGATTAATTTATAGTAATAATTTATTGAAAATACCTTGTCGAACTATTTTTGTCCAGGGGGATATATATATTGCTCGCAAGGAAAAATAATATATAAACTTATCATTTAATACAAATGTCTGAAAATGCAAATGATTGAAAGATGATAAATAATCTTTTTAATACTTGAATTTTTTATTAAATTTTGAAAAGTTATGAATGATGATATTTGCATAATATATTCTTTTTTTTCATATAATAAAAAGAAAACAAACCTACAAGTCTCCTACTCATAAAATTTCTTGTAGTAGAGACCATAAATCAAAATGAAAACAAAAACAACAACAAAATATTTCATTCTCACATAATATTTATTCTTTTATAGTGGTACAACAAAATATTTTTGTGTTAAAATGCTTCGTAAATTATTAGCTGAATATCCTGAAGATATTTTACGTCGTTCAGCATATTATCAATATCGAAAACCGATTGCTTTATATGTAGCAACTTCACATGAACTTGAACTATTAAATCGAATAAATGCTCAACATTCTCATTGGACATATGCACGACAACCATTTACTGTTGCTGATGAACTTATACGTGTTTCGGATTTTCTTCCATTTTATGAATATCTTCGTCTGTCATTTAAACCAACGTCTATTCCACAAACTACATCAGCAAATTCATTGAGACCAATTTTACCACAAGCTACAAAGCAATCATCATCGGATTTTAGTTTAAATACATCAAATTCACTTCTTGGACATTCAACAACTCCACTTGCAACAACATCTACTCAGATACAACCATATGTAGTACAAGAAATACATCGTGAAAATATTTCATCGATTTCACGACCACTAGCACCACCACTACCCCCACCACCTGTACAACGTCCTCCTCCACTATCAAAATATGATGTGCAGCTATCTACAGTGCCACGACAAGTACCACAACCACCTTCTACACAACAAAGATTACAATTACCTCCACCACCTATTCAACAACCGAAAGCAACATCGTCGAATGCTGTTATGAATTCAACAAATACAGGTAAAGAATATATACATGAAAAGTAATCAGTAAATATGTAAAAGTACTTGTGGAAATTGAAAATCTTATAAGACCAGAAATCAATCATTGTTTTTTGTATAATGATGACTGTCTTATTCTATAGTGCTTCCAAATAAACCTTTGACTACTCCCGCTGTAACTTCTGTATCTCAACCATCAACATCAACTACACCAATACCAGCGAACAGTTCTTCATCTCCGGATCCAACTGTTTCATCATCGATAGTAATAACTAGTCGCAAGTTATCAACAACTTCAACAGAAAAACAATTGACATCGACATCTAGACAACCATCATCATCATCATCATCTCCAGTATCAAAACCATCTCAGCTTAATTCTGGGTGGTTACAAATAAATAAACTCTATACACCTTATGTATCATCAAGTACATCAAATCATCATTTATATAAAATACCTGTTAGTCTTCTGACATTTTATGATCTTCTTAAAATTCCATCATCTGAAAATAATACAAATAATCCAAAAGATTTACCATTTTCTTGTGAACAAACACGTGTTACACCACAAGAAATTGAACTTATTAATGAACTTTGTGTCAAACAACATATTAAACCATTTTCTGATGATACAAAACTTATTGATTTATTAACATTTTATCAATATTCTTCAACTAATGTATTATTTATAAAAGAATTACCATTAAATGATCCAAAAACATCTATTTGTAAAGATTGGACATCAATTGTACAAATTAATGGTGGTATTTGTCGTTTACGTAATATAGCAACGTTACATGAACAAACTGTGCCATTTATTGGAAATAATTTATTAAAAAATTTTATTATCTCATCACAATGTTTATCATCAGCATCATTAACCACACCAACCACAGCTGAAAATGAATTTCTTCAATTAATACTATTCTTTAGTAATATGTCAATAAATTTACATAATGCAAAATTAATCGATATTGAATCTGTACGAAAAGAATACACGGTTGATTTAATACTTTTATTTAATGATAAATTTCCTTTAAATGCACTTAATTATCAACATCAACGTAAGAAAAAAAAAGAAAATCAGTCAAAAAAAATCAATAAATTCATTTGTTTTCTTAGCCAAAACGCCATCATCTTCACAAGGACAAGCTACTCAGTCAGATTCTCCAGCAGCAACAAATACGGTAAAAACAAAATAAATATCTCAATAAGTCCTATACGCAAATGGATTTTTACTTACATACATGCATGAATAGGGACCATACACTAGCTCATGTGTTTCTAGGGGCAATACCTTGTCTTTCATCTCTCTTTCTCAACAGTCTTATTAACATATACTAGGAAGACACTTGAGAAAGAAAGCTAGAACAAGAGGTGCCGCTCTAGGCAACAAATAAACTATTATATGGCTACTTTTCATACATATGTGTGGTCAACAAGCAATTTGGGAATAAGACTCATTTTTTTTCTAAATCTCTTTTAGTTTGCTGAATCAACACCACCTCCATCGCCAACATCACCACAGACAAATAATCATACTGTTACTTCGGCATCTCAATTACCAGTGGCATCCTCTTCATCGAATCGTTATCAAAAACAAATTACATTTCATGGTCATTCAATGACAGCATACATATGTTCGGGTATTGAAACCAATGCTCAACGGGAATGTATTTCAGTTAGAGAATTATGTAATATGCTTTATCCAAATTCATCAATAATTGATAAACTTGAAACAAGAATGCTTCGCTTATTACGAATAAAAAAGATCAATCGATTTCGACCACAAAATCAACAATCAATAAGTTTGACTCGTTTAGTTGATATTCAAGATATTGAAAAACATTGGGATTATATTGAAAAAGGAATGCATTCATTATCTAATAATAGTCAGTAAAATATGACTAAATAAATTTTCATATATTCCTATATATTTTTTTATAGATGATGAAGAAAAGAAAATTGTACAAGAAAATACTTCATCATCATCGGATAAAGATTTAAAGGCAAGTATATCAAATAAAATAGAAAATAAAAGAAAAATACTTGTGCAAGAAACTTCGATTGAAGTAAATCAAAGTGAAAAAAGACCATTGATGAGTGAATTGGAAGATGTACCTATTGTGGAACAAGTTTGTAAACGTGGACGACCTTCGGGAGATGATAATAATGATAATAATGGTAATAATAATAATAATAATAATCACAATAATGATGAACAATCAAAATCGGTATCAACAAATTCAACTCAAACAATTGAATGTAATCATTCAAATAATAATGAAACAAAAGAAGATAAAAAAGTTGATAATGATAAAAATCAAATGAAAAATCGACGAAATTCTCCTCCACTTCCACCTCCACCAACTTCACCAATTAAACCAATCCTTCGACATCATGATAAAGATACTAGACAGAAAAAACTTCAACCAGCAACTCGACATCTATCAACTGAATCATTAATATCATCACGAAAATCCATCACACCAATAAAAAAGAAAATAAAAATTATTAGAAAACGACGAACACCACGTACACGTTCACGTAAACAATCCATTGCTGGTTGGCTTCAAAGATATAACATTGAAGAATTTTGCATACGTTTGGATTTTTATAATCCAAATGCTGAAACTGCAAAAAATTAATTTCTGTTTAACTTATTTATTTCTTTTTCTCTTTGTGGATAGCAACCGTTTGTTAAGTAGATCTATATTCATATTGCAAGATGAATCAACGCAAAATATATCGTTTGTTTTTTTTTCTGAATAAATGTTGAGCTTTAATCCTTCATATATTTCTATGTCTCTTTCAATCAAAAAAAAAAGAAAATAAGCAAAAAAAAATAAGAAGATACTGCATAACTCTACAAGCATTATTATGACTTGTTGTTTTTCTTGTCTTTGACTTTTATGTTAACTTTGTCTACGTTCGTATGCATACAATGGGACATACAAGTACCATTGATATCGATGATGATCTGTTTCTTTTTTCCTCGTTTTTGTTTTTTGGTTTTCTTCGTTCTTTCTTCAATATTAACGTTGCATGCCATTATTGATATACCATTTTCCATAAGAAGCAATACATAATCAACAATGTTAAACAACCTATTGTTGATTTTTCTTTTATCAATATGACATCTTTTCATATATGGCATACTGAATATTTTGGCATTGCATGCTTTGATAACATGTTTCAAAATAGTTTTAGATTGGTATATGTATATCATATAAATATACAGATGGATTCGAATAAAATGGCTATTTGATATTAGAGTTAACAAGAGAAAATATTTTTAGTTTGTACTTGGCATCAAACTATGAATAATATTTGATTATAAGTAATGTATGTGCTTGATACAACGTGAAACATGCTGGATCAATTAAACAATGGTTTGATCAATGTTATGGATCATCGCTAACATGGAACCAGTAGAAGTTGGAGAAACTTCTCATGCCCAAATGTCCGACTTTTTGCCAATCTTTTTACAGCGTCCCAGTAGCTTTGGATAGAAAACGATTTTGAAATACAATTTGATTTTCTCTGGGAGCAAGTGAAATTAGCAGACAATGACTCAATGAAGTAAATAGGATTCGGGTACACGACGGCCTAGTGGCATATTGTCTCTTGTGGGAGGATCAGGTTACGATGGGTTTCGTTCTTCCCACCCTGGTTATCACTTCTAGCACTCCAACGATGAAAGCGCTTTGTGCTGAGTTTTTAACCTCACGCATCCGTAAAAAAGCCGACAACCTTGAATGAAAAAATATGCCTGATAAGTCTAATTGAATAGTTTGTGACTAATATTTTTACAAAGATTACTAACTGAATGAACATGAACGTTGCTCATCACAATCATTAACCAAAACTGGAATGTAAAACCACGAGATATGCTTGTGAACAATTCGATGATTCTATAATGATTCTTTTTCAACTTGAATGTCAAAAAATCTGCAGTAAGCCTAGCCTGAGACGATTTCACTTTATTATAGACGACGAAATTTAAATAAATCTGTATACATATAATTAATAGAAACAATATCAATGGATAACTTTTATTCTAATTTCAATATCATTATTTTTTGTCCGAACTGCAACTAGCAAGCAAGCATGTGATTCAAATCGGATAAAAGCAGCCGGCTGTGCCCTGGTCTCCATTCTATCGTGGCATAGCAATAGTTGTTCTCAAACCGGCAAACTACTGTCGGCATGCCGATGGTAATGTGAGCTAATGTGCAACTATGGGCTATGCAATTATAGCCCGAAACACGGACTTCATCAAAATATCAAGCGATGTGTTTGTTTAAAAGTGGTTTAATTCGGCTATCTAAATTAAAAAAGAAAATTTCATGGATTCAAAAAAATATGGAAAATTCTGAAAATATATCGAAAGTTTAAAATATTCTTTTGTAAATGCATTTAGTATTATTTATTCTCAGCAGATTTTACCAAAACATGTTGAACTGCAACGACAGTTTATCAAATCAACTTCAAAGAAAGAAACCAAACACTTTCGACAAATTAAAATTATTTCATTATTTAGTTTTACTTAATAAACTATCCACAATATTTATATAGTACCGAACATTCGAAGACTCAGAAACACTTCAAAAAATGATAAATGTTTTTGGTAAAATTATGAATTCATGTAATCATAATTGGTGATCAAAAATTGTTTAGTGATGCCATGCAATAAAACTGAAGAATTAGTCGAATACTGGATTTCGGAGACATTTTGAACGTTCAAAATTTCGATATTATCATAATAAATTCAATCTAATAAAGTTATATGATTTCATCTGCTTTTACTATAGTGATGTAATCAGGACAACCATGTAGAGACGAATCAATTTTCTAATGATATCTAGAGAAAGTAAAGAGATTCTCTTTAGCACACTTCCAGTGGGACTTGAAGCCTTTTTATAAGCCGATTTTCACCTGCTGTGTTATTCATCGGCTTACATTATTACTCTGCTTTTATGTATGAAGATAAAGTTACTGAGTATAATGTTCTATTCTACATCATTTGATCTGAAAATTTTCAATATCAAACGTCAGATCTTAGTATCAAGAATATGATACCGAAATTCGGAGATCGATCTTGTCTATTTTCGACGTTCAAGCAATCTCTTTTCATGAAGTATAAATATAATATCAAATTTTATGAATATGTTGGTCATTAATAGTATTTACATTAGGATTGCTTGCCATTAATGAGATAGGGAAGAGTACACGTCTTATAAATATAAAAAAAGGAATATTTCTTGTATTCATGGCATGTATTTACACAGTGTGATTTTTCTGTCAAGCAAAACTAAATACCGTTACTCACAGGTCTTTAATACATTTTCAATGAAAATAATTACACCCTTAAAAATATATATGGTTATTTGCAAGCGAAAATATTCGGACATTTTGTCTTTTCTAGACATTGATCATAATTATCTTGTCATTTAGACATACTAAAAATCAAAACTGACAAAAAAAGTTAGATAATATCAAGTTTCGAACTACTAGTAATAGATAATGCAAATTTTTGAATGGAGTCTTAGCATCTAATGAATTTTTTCTTTCGATATTTTTTTTTGTGATTTTAATGAATAAGTTTTATTAGATACATATGAATTTCTCAAAAAAAAAAAAAATACGAAATATTCTAAAGGTTCAAAAAGTCTTTTTCTTTTCTATTAACTGCATTCACAGATGGCAAGATATGTAATGATTGGTTTTCGTAATCATTAATTTTGATGCTTGACATGCAGGTATTTATTTTTTGTATTGACAGCTCAAAAAATAATTACATCAGTGTTAATTTGAAATAACGACCTTGAGTCTGATGCATATATCGATTATATCTATAAATGAAAAAAAAACCGATATTGTCCTCAATTACCTCGAATGATTCATCATTCATTTTCGATAAATTTAATGCGTCATAAATAAACATTTGAAAGAATAATAAAAATATTATGATGCATGATCGCTTAGTTTAAAATAATAATGATAGACGAAAATAAAACGTATATATAGCATATACTGATTCATTCAAACAAACGCATGTTAGCATACGAAACGCCCAAGAAATGACTCATTTGCTTAGATCGAATACTAAATGACTTAACACAACTAGCCCAAATGAAAATTACAAAAGAACCCAATATTAATTATGATTTATTAGATTTTCAAAAATGGAAATCTCTTTATATGGTTTTATGCTAGATCAAAAATGTTTATTGTTTAACTATGTTGATTTTATTTATAAGAGTCAATATTAATCATTTGATGTTTATATGTTGACAAAAAAATATTGATGAAGACTGAAAATTCTAGGCATCATTAAATGATTTTTCAACTTAAAAAACTTCTTTATTTTGGTTGATTGTATATTTAATCAATTCTCTTTCTCAAAACATCTAGAAGGTATATTCATCTTAGCTGATAAAAAGAAGCAATTCCGACATATAAATAATATAAAACTGTTGTTGTCATGAAACAGCAAAAATCACGCATCACTTAGGCTATTAAACTTAGTTCATGACTATTCGATGAAGAAAATCTGTTATCTTTATTACAAATTATAAAATATTTGATATGGATTCTTGCTTTATCTATAATTTTTATGGTGTTTTTATCTATAGAAAATTAGTAAATACTATTGTTTTCGAGTGATTAATTAGCTATTGTAAATAGAAAGCATATCGACAAACAACTAGTCTTTATCCAGATGAAAACATATCAGATAAAACTCTAATTGCATATTTTTGTTTAGAATAAAAGGAATACTTGTAATAGAACATTGATTATCTGATCTCAATGTTAGTCATCTAGTTCTTATTGAAGCATTAAATAATTAGTCGAGAAGAATATCTTGTACTTTCCATATGATATTATCGTTATAGAATATATGTTTTATTTGCTTTGTCGAACAGCAGTCAAAAAAAAAAACGTAAGACATTCCATCGAGTTATTGTGAAATTGATACCATTCTCTCTTTTTTTTGTCAGTAAATCAATCATAGACTTGTATTTTATGCTCGATTGCTTCGATGATCGTTCATGTAAATCAGCTTAATAAATGAAGTCTTTTTCTTTTTCTTATATTCGTTTCTTATCAATAGTATTATAATTGAACACCTGCAACAGTATTGCATATTATTTATATTATTATTATTCAATCTTATATAATCCAGTCGATTTGTATGAACAAATGTTGAATGTTGTGAATGGCCTGCTGCTAACGTTACTCTTGTATTAGATACTAACCATCGGTCAATACTGATGCGATCACATAGTGACCAATGTACCAGCACAGTATTCATCATCATCATTTATTTACATAATGAAATTGGATGGATTTGTATGCATTGCATAGTACGAAGTACTAATCAACGGCGGGTGTCTCAAGCGAAGACAGCCTAGTTTGTTGTTAGACTAGCTGCCGTCTTTTTCATTCATTCTCGGCTTCGTGCACAGCAGTAGAATATAGTCAGAGGGAAATTGATTCTCTATGCCTTCAAGCGTAATCGAAAGAGAAAGAAATGACATTCTTTAAATAAAAAAAATAAAAGAGAAGACGATATTCTGTTGAAATGAACAAGCAGTATATAGCACTTCTTTTTCTTTTTTCTATTTCTGTTGCCTTAGGAAAAACTGTTCATTTTCTCGCGTAATACTCAGTAAGAGAAAAAGAAAAATAATATTACTATTCAATGGATCGTCTTTCTTTGTTTCATTAACAAACGAGAACAAGAGAGAGCGAGCGAGAGAAAGAGAGCAAGAAAAATGAGTTCTTCTCTTTATGTTGTCTTCTCGTTTATCCTTCTTTTTTTTGTTGCAGTTGCTACTTGGCACAAGAGATACACGTCATTATTATTGTCATTATTCTCCTTCTTTACTTCTTTGACATATACCAAGACACTATTGAATTGTGATCATTGACTATTAAGTATGTATACAAATAAAAAATAGACAAAAAAAAAAAGAAATTTTTTATTTTATGTTTCTTATTGTTATTTTTTTCTTTTTTTGGTTAGTAATGAAATTGACCGATTCGTTCTATTTCGAAGAAAGTCGTGGTCAATGTGGTCGTAAACTATTACGTGAAATTGGTGAACAACGTCGAACAAAAATTCATTTATATGCTTATGAAAGTTGGCCAAAACCAGCACTTATTTCACATTGGACAATTAAAACAGTTTGGTGGTCAAAAACAAAATGTGAAATTATTGAACGCTTGGGTCATCGAACAAGTATCACTAAGTATGTTATTGTCTTTTATTTTTTTTTCTTTTAGTTACACTTTGGTTCTTGTCATAAGATTATATAATGAAGTAAAGAAAAGAAAAGCATAATCATTTTTGTTTTTCATTCTTCAAGCAATCATTACCCATTTTCTTTTTCTTTTTTAATATGCAGAAAATTTTACTAATTGCAAATGAATATTTCTATAACTTCTCAATAAAGAAAAAAATAAATTTGTGTGAAATGTATCTCCTTTCAACAAATCATTTATGATGTACACATCATTTTCAATATCTAATGAAGGCTGTCATACATATGTAATGAACTTAATTGACCATTCGATAGCACGTCGAACCTTACAAGCTATTGATGATTTCCATCTGTAAATATATATAAGTCTTGAAAAGAACTATAATTAGTCGCATTACTCGACATTGTATGTATATGTGACATGCAACATGCGCGCATATTACATCGGTGAGAATAGGACGAGGTCAATTCTTCTGTCATATATTTATACATAATGACAGTAACATGTAAAGTATGAGAATAATCATCAGCTTTTTTCTGTTCAAGTACAAATACGATTATATGACATTACGTGTTCCATATATGCACACATAAGTGTGATTGACAGACAATCATATTCCATGGTTCGTCATTGGGGAATTGAAAAAGAGAAAAAGATTCTTTTTTTGCTTTTCGAAAGAATAAGGATGTCTCTAATGGAGTAATATCTCCTTTCTATATTGAGATGGAAGAATATTTATTTATACTAAAATGATCAGCGACTAAATAAAAGTTTGATCCACTCATTTTGTTATCGATTAATCACATTATAAACGCGTGCAGCAGTATATTTTCTGCTTGATGACTAATTTAATTTCGTTTTGCAATAGTGCAAATATTCATGCATTCGGAAAAAAAAAGAGAAAAAGGAAATGAGAGTGATGGTCAATTTTCATCTTATTCTATTTCATGTTACAATTATTAATAAAAAATGCAATAGATGGACGAACACAGGAAGTAGACATTAACATGCTGTGAACTAGTAGATTTAATGAGTTCGATATTACGAAGAAGAAAAAAAAAGAACCTTCGTCATGACTAGACGAGATAGATCAGATGATAAGAGGTTGTAGAAGGGCATTAGCAATGACAGCCGCGCGATAAACCGTCAGACACCAATTTATTATTTACTTACGTTTTGTCTGAAAAATATTAATCTCAATAAATATGCGTAAATAAACTAGAATTATGTTAGATTTAATCAAAGAATTAAAAATCTTTCTATGCATTGAATAATAATGAATTCAGTATATTAGCATAAATAAGTAGCAAATTTTTCTTTTTTCTTATCTTATATGAATATTTATTAACTAGATATTGCATATAAAATCTATTTATATTTCTAGAGGTCATATGAAATGTTTGGGTAATGGTCGTTTAGAAATAACTGGACAATTTCCACGTCATACAGATGCCTATTTTCGTCTTGTTCTATCATCACAAGTAACTGATGATGATATATCTGATGGTTATATATTATCAGGCGATCTTGAACTCGGTGATACAAAAGATACAATGCAACAAAGTCATTTTGCTGTAGTAAAATTTGAACAAAAACGACAACATAAAAATCATATACATAATATTAATGATTATTATATAAAAGCACGTCGTTTATTATTGCTTGGTTGTGTATAATTGATTAAGTTTTCTTTTTCTTTTTCTTTTTCTTCTTTTTTTCGACAGTGACCATTTACAGTGGTTCTTTTACTAGTCAGTATTTTGTTTTTCATCACTGTCTATTCGTTGTGGCTGATTAAATAATATTCATTTTTGTGTTCTTCTTTTTTCATCGAAATTTTAATAAAGAAAACATATAGATGATTGATGTTGAATGAATAGAATAATAATATCAAAAGAAAAAATGTGAAGCATTAAAACCAACTATTTGTCCGACTCAATCATGAACTTTTTTTTTTTTTTATGGACTCTTACACATTAAAAAAACATTACAAGGTAAAATCGAAAGAAATGAAAACATACTGTGTTTTTCGTTATATCTTATAGTTGTGAATCGATTTTTTTAATGATGCATGCAATGGTAAATGTTTACTCCCTACTATGTATTTAATTGTCAATTATAATAAATTATGACACATTTGATTGCTTTAGAATGAGAACCATAACGATCCTAAACTGGGTACATTCTTAATTAGATGCTGATTAATCATTCAATCATGACTAAGAAGGATAAAAATCAGTGATGTCAAATCAAATATTTGAAAATCAGAAATCTATCAGAAAGAGCAAGTTTTTACACACTAGTGCGTATTATATTAACATATTAGTACCAGATATTTTACTGAGTCTGTAATCGTTGACTTATATTTTATTTTCAAAGGTATTTCACTAGAAAACAAAGAAATACAATGAATATATTGCTTAATTAATACGAAAAATATGATACTTAGTATCGAACTTTTGAGCTAAACTCAAAATTGATTTATAATAAAAGTAGAAAAACAAACGACATATATGCTATGTAGATTAAAGAATCTTACTTACATACAGGTATGAGTGAAGGAAAGATTCATACTCATATCTCTAATCTAACGAAGATGTAATCTAAAAAAATTTATATATCAGAAAGTTTCTCAACTTGTTAGAAGATCTAATAACTCTGATCACAATTAAAGGAACGAATATATAATACTTGTATCTCGTAAAATGATTATATTCAATTGAAATTCTCAAGTTATGTTACAACATGAACGGCCATCTAATAGTAAAATGCACTATTCTTATTGCCACTTGTTCATTATACTTCGTTTTACGACTACTGAATTATTTGAATTATCAATAAAATGTCAAGTGTGTAAATAAAACTAGTATGAGAGTAGCAATAGATTTTCTTGTCATTCAAACCGAGATACATATCCACACGCTAGGTAGATAAGAAAAAAAAGCCAAGTTTAGAATCGATTTTTACCTAGCATCAATCAACCTATGTTTTCAGAATCAAGAAAACATTTGCGATAGATTACTGATTTTTGTGATCGATTCTTATTTTTCAATATGTCGATAGTAGAAATGATTTTTTTTTCATTTAATCTCGATTTCTATAGTACTAATTTACATAAATGCATATTTCTTTTTTAGAAAAATTGCAGTATTTTCGTTGTTCTACATATAATTTCTTATAGATCACTGAAAATAAAATAAAAATACACGTTCATATGTACGACAGAAAATGGAACAGAAATCATAATTAAATATAAAGGATTGAAAAAATGACATCTTTTAAAATAAGTAAATATAGATTCAAAGTTCACTTCGATTGTTCTTTACAATTGTACAATTTTACATATTTAGAAATTATATTTACTTCTCGATTCAACAAATCTTGGAAAATTTCGATTATTTAAACCAATGATTAAATATAATTTTACGCTTTGAAAACTATCATGATTTTCATGCCATGATGAAATCCCAGAAAAATACAGTTGAGATTGAACAATTGAGACGACACTAATTATCTATGAATTCTTTCTTTGAATGATATATATGGACATATTTGTTTTTTTCTTTTTATAACCAGAGATGTAAAAAACCTTTAATACACGATTATCAATTGTAATTAGTTAACAGATGTCGCTCATTGACAGCAATCACTTTAAATTCTTTTAATAAAATTTTAAAAAATTCGAAGAATTTAATATATTTCTTAATAATTTTTATTTTAAATTTTATTTAAACTATCAATCGAAGAAAAATTATAGAGTCAATATAGATTGTTTAATTGGTCGAACAAAGAATTGTGTCATTCTCGGCCAACAATTACAATCATATTCCTATATTCATAGGAAATTTGTACCTCTTAAACACGAAGAAAATATCAAATTTAATATCTAATAATCAATTAGAATGGGTCTTGGTAGTAGTAATATAAAAATTCCAGGTGGTGGTACTGAAGGTTTTCATGTTCTTCGTGTACAAGATGGTTCACCTGGACATAAAGCTGGTTTAGAAGCATATTTTGATTTTATTGTTAGTATCAATGGTATTCGACTTGATACAGATAATGATAGATTTAAAGAAGTATTAAAAGAAAATATTGGTAAACCAGTTGAACTACTTGTTTATAGTAGTAAAACACAAACAGTACGACAATTAACATTAATTCCACATGAAAATTGGGGTGGTCAAGTATGAATAAAATCTTTTTTTTGTTTTTTAAATAATTTTTCTTTTGAATAATTAGGGTTTACTTGGATTAAGTATTCGATTTTGCACATTTGATAAAGCAAATGAAAATGTTTGGCATGTCTTAGATGTTCAACAACATTCACCAGCAGCATTAGCTGGTTTACGTTCAAATACTGATTATATTATTGGTGCTGATACATTATTAAATGATGCTGAAGATTTATTTACATTAATTGAAAGTAACGAAGGGAAACCACTTAAACTTTATGTTTATAATAGTGAAAGTGATATGACACGTGAAATAACTCTTACACCTAATGTTGGTTGGGGTGGAGAAGGTAGTTTAGGTTGTGGTATTGGTTATGGTTATCTTCATCGTATACCAATACGAACAGCAAGTGTACCACCAGTAACAAAAGGAAATTTACCAACAAATTCATCTATTTTAAGTGGAAATACTACAATGGATAAAAATTCATTACTTTCAACAATACCATCATCAAATCTCAATGAAAATACAAATATGAATTTTACACTTCAACCTGTTAATATGCCACCAATAGCAGTTACAACACCGAATTTATTTGTTCCACCATCAGTTAATACAACAGCAACAAACGAAACAACATTAGTAACGACTAGTGGAACTCAACCACCACCACCAACAACAACAACATATGATCCTAATCAATTTGCTAAGTATGTTGATAAAAAAAAAGTTTTTTTAATTTTTCACATGGGCACATGAATATGTGACTTTCTTGCGCAGAAAAGAATTTTTAAGAAAAATTTTATTTCATGTTATATATTATTCAATGTAGTTTAATGTGTTGGTTTTGAAGATAGAATTTTTGTCGATTAAATATTTTCCGAAGGGAGAAAAACCTAAATTTTCTTTTTGGAATTTCACTATGCACATGGGTAGATTGCTCATTTTATCAGACTAGCCGTTCAGATGACACTAGAAAATTTATTTTTCTCTAGTTAAACTGTATTTCGAAGTATATATAAGTCTTGAAAAAAAAAAGCGATTATCATTTTAGTCAAATATACGTCTAGATACATACTGTAATATCAAAATAGATAGAATAAAATAATCCCATCAGATTTATGTTAACAGTCTTTTATTTTTTGTTTTCATTCAGATATTTTGGTGATATGACTATTAATCCATCACCTCCTAACTCAACAAATATAGTACCAACCAATTTTCCTTCATATCCTGCAACATTTGTTCCAACTTTTACTAACACTCAATATGCTCCTCCACCACCACAACATTCTGCTCAACAATTAACAAATCCTGGTCCAACTGATCAATTACCATCTGTAGTTTCTCCTCCTGTTATGCCTCCATCTAATATTGGAGTGCCATCTTCTCAACAACAATCAACAAATGTAGGTCCAACTGAACAATTACCATCAGTAATGCCACCTCCTATGATGCCTCAATATAATTTTCAAATGCCAAATCCTCCACAACAACAACACTATTTTCAACCTGTTCCTCCATCATTATTTACTGATTCTCAATATTATCAACAACAACCTCCATTTCAATATAATTCAACTGCTAATAGATATCCAAATACTTTTTCAGCTACACCACCACCACCGCCACCACCTGTTCAACGATCATCACCATTTGCTCATGATAGTAGTGGACATGGACATAGTCATGATTATGGCATGGGGCATGGTCATAGTCATGATCATGATGATGGTCATGGCCATAGTCATGATCATGATGATGGCCATGGTCATAGTCATGATCATTAATAATTGTTTTCTCATTCTACTGAATAATCATGGTTATTTCTTTTCTTTTTCTAGTTCTCTTGTGGGTTCAGTGCGCTTTTATATGCTTACTTTTTCTTTTCATGTGAACTATCTTTATCACATTTGCTTTTAATTCTATCTCGAGCTAGATTTGTGTCCATTTAGGTTTCAAAGTCCTTGTTTTTCTTTGTTCGTCATCGACTACATTTTGTTTGTTTTTTTTTATTGTTATTATATTAATCGTTATTAAACTTTAAAAATACCAACTACATAAATTATTTTCCTTTTTTTTTTTTGTTTTCATTTAAGATTTTAATTCCAATGAAAAAAAAAAACAATCAATCAATCATCATTGAATGTTCGACAAAAATATCATTAAATACTTAATGATACTATGGTTTTAAAAAGGAGATTTTAGTGTTATGAGGTAAAATTTAATAGAGATTTTGTTAACTGTTTTCTTTTTTTGATGTGACATTAATTGATGGTAAATTAGTTCTATGAATCCTTTCGAACATATTAATTTATGTTTAGCGCTTAAGAAACAATTTTTTGTTTGTAAACTACAAAATGTCTCAAATTAACGTAAATATCTCTTTTACAGTTCAAAGATTTCTTTAAATAATATGTTAGAATATCTTTTAAAGTTTTTATTTTTGCATATGAATATCTATGTCTATAAACATTAGAATTAAAATAGTTTTAATAATGGCCAAATTTAGGGATGTACCGAGACCGAGCCTCTCGGGCTCGGTCAGTCTCGGTCTCGGCCAGTCTCAGTCTCGGTGTTAATGAATATTGGTCTTGAGTACAATTAACTTCTTATTCGTTCTTTATCCTAGGTAAGCATTGTATTCACTCTCAGTCGAAATTATTATTTTTTCAGTTTTTCGACCGAGACCGAGACTACCCGCACCGAGAGTCTCGGTACATCCCGAGCCAAATTTAAATCACATATGATTGTGAAACAAAAACAACAGGTCGAATTTGGCATAAACACGTCAATTGAAGGTTGTATTAAAGTTAAATATCAACGCTTTTGTGAAATTGATACAGTGGAAGATCAAGCATGCTCTCAAAAAGCTGACAGAATTGTTCAGAAGACAATCTCGACGAAGTTTATGATGTTTTTAAACATCAAGCATTCGAGCTTTCGTAACGGTCTGTTTCATTTCATGAAAACTGTACAAGATACGATATGCTTTTGACAATGTGAATACTTAATTTTCACAAACATCATAAATTTCGTCGACATTTTCTATGACGATTTTTTACTGTATTGATTTCATCAAGGCATTGAAATCTAACTTTAACACAATCCTCATTTTTTGTTGTTTGATCAAATTCGACTAGCAATTTTTGTTTTACATTCATATGTGACTTTAATTTGTCCATTAATAAAACTATTTGTAGTTTAATGTTTAGAGACACAGACTTTTTATTTGACAATATATAAAACAATACATTATAAAGCAAAAACAATTGAATTGTATGAGAGATACTTGCGCTTATTCTTTTGAAAACTCTCTTAACACATTCAAGAAATTATGTATCGTCTCAAAATTTGTATATTCTATTCATAAAATTTTATCTTTTACAGATAAAATAAACATTAGCATTCAAAAATGATCGAATACTTCATACAACGATAGTTCCAATTGCGAAATCCCATTATATATGTTTTTTTTTATGAAGTATACAATCAATTTTGAACAAAAGGGAGAACTAACCGAACTGATAATTGCTGTTTTAGTTCATATTGAGCTTACAAAAACATCTTGGTGAAATTAGTAAAAGGGTTCGTCCCGATGGGACTTTGAAGCTAAAATATGATCGTTTTATTGAAGTTTTGATTCAGCTTTAAGTATCTATTGGCAACTGTCATACTCATAGATCATGATTTTTTATGAATGGAATTTTTAACTTCACATCGTTACTTATACAGATCAGAGATGAACTTGTCTGCTTTTTCTTTTCTATTTTTAGACACAATTTAATTTTTATCAATATGTTTGTCCATCATTATAGTCGGAATTCAATGATATTTAGAAAACTGATGGTTCATTAATTTTATATTAGCGATCATGAACAGAATCTACAAGAATAACTGTATCAAAATGAATATTTATTGCAATGTTTACCTACTTGATTAGAAGAATTTTTTTTGTATAAACAGAAATATTCAAACACTAGTTGAAATCATGTACATCGATTGATATTCGAATGATGAAGAAAATACTTAATAATAATTATTAAAATTTTTTGCTTCTTATCATTCGATTACTATATAGAAACATTTACATCATCTTTAACTAAATAGTAAGTTAAATATTCTTATTTTTATAGATTAACTGATATTAATAAAAATTTGAAAGTTAACTACCTTTTATTTGAAAAGCCATCGAAACTGTTTTGTAAATCGCATCAAATACTATATAGGAAGTTGTACAATTAGTTGCCTTTGCCTTCACTAACAGTATCGAAGAATTTAAAACATTATGAAAGCTAAAAGTCACAAAAACTAATATAAATACTATACTTTTGGATATGAAAAAGGCTATGATGAGTACTATTAGATAACATAAGCTCTAATATAAGAGCAATGTCTTTAAAGTAAAAAAAAAAAAAAATCTAACAAGTTGAAGAAGTAAAATATACAAATTCAAGTTATTTAAAGCAGAATACCTACTTAGATTAATTACAAACCTAAACGATGAAAATTTTCATTCAAACTCTCGAATTAATTATTTTACTAATCTTGTTTTTTTTTGTTTTCTGTTATTCACTTTTAAATAATATATTTATCAATTTTTTTAATTACATAATTGACATCATGATGTAACATGAAAGTACTTAGTCAGGTCATGTTATAGAGAAACTCTTTATTGTGCTTTTGAGAAAAATAACTTCGTCTTAATTTGTAAATTTTAACCGACTTTTATATAATAGCATTCATGCTAAATGCCTGCTTTTAATAGTCTTCACAGATATGAATACATTTTAATTACAAAATATTCTTTGGCTTCTTTGTCATACAATAAATTTATTTTACTGAGAATTCTTATGAATATTTTTTCTTTTTGTCATGTAACTTTTTTTACAATATTTAATGAAAAAAGTTGATCACCCATAAAAGAACTTGTCAACATAACCTTTTTTAAGATTTGAATGTAAAATTCATGTAAGCTAAGAAATAATTTAGTCGAAATACATATTGTATCCAATACAAAAAAAAAAAAAATAATCGAAAAACTTTGTTATAAAGTTACATTCAATTTTAAATATATGGTTTTTAAAAAAACTCGACATACCTATTTGAATTGAATTGCATAATGAGTCAGATATATTTCATAAGAGAATAAAATTTACGAAAGTATTTCAATATTCTTGCAACTTTCTTTTTGTCAATATTACTATTTAAAAGCAATTTATCACTTGAAGAATTCGTATAAGGAAAAAAAAACATACATTCTCATTATATTCACTTGTGATTACTTAATGTGTATAGTTCTTTTTTTTTTTAGATCATTTATTCGATTAATGCATTGTACTCAAATTCCAGTTATACAGTTATTGATTATTCATCATGTTTGTAGGACAGTTTCATAAATAGACAAGATCGACAAAAACTACAATATACGATATTTATTCTTAAGAAATACATTACATTCGAAAATTATATATTAATCAAATAACATCTATACATTTATAATTCAATGTTTTATTTTTTAGTTGATAGTTAATATTTATTCATTGATTTTTGAAATAACATATAGTGAATTAGTTTTATTTTTTTTTGTTTTTTACGAAACTTAATTACGTTAATCATATTGCATTTATTATTTGTTTCAGTTTATTAGAAAAAAAAAATCGTTTCTTTGTTTTTTTTGTAGATTAAAATATTCATCATGGCATCACGAGGTCCACCAACAAAAGTTCAAAAAGTTATGGTACAACCAATTAATTTAATCTTTCGATATTTACAAAATCGATCACGTATACAAGTTTGGTTATATGAACAAACAACAACACGTATTGAAGGTTATATAATTGGTTTTGATGAATATATGAATCTTGTTTTGGATGATGCTGATGAAATTTTATTAAAAAAAAATACACGAAAAAAAATTGGTAGAATTTTACTTAAAGGTGATAATATTAGTTTAATTCAACAAATACAAACAACTGGAACACATACTTAAAATCAAGGTCAAATATGTGAATGAAAAAGAAAAATTCGAAAGAAAAGTTTATTTGTGAGTGTGTGTGTGTGTGTAGTCACTTGATGTTTTTTTTTATACATTCTCTAGCTTTTTTCTTTTCATTGTATTCAAACAAGGAGAATAAACGTGCTGATTATTGTTGTTATTAAAATTGTTCTTGTTTCATGTTGTTTTTTTTTTTTCTTGAATCAGTAAGATAGATCATTGATTTTGATAGGGAGAGGCGACGAAGAAAAAAAATAAGGAATAGTTTTTTGAGACATAAAATTAGAAGATAAGGTGTGAAAACTCTATAAGTTGCCCTTGAGAAAAAACAAAACATTTTTCAGTTATTAATCGAACTATTTAAATCTTATATACATATATACGAGTATACTTTTTAGATCATATCGTGACTTGCATTTATGAACATTTATAAAACTGCATAAAATAAGTGATACATGATTGATAGAAACAATAAGAGTACATAAATTAAATGTTAATTTTACATGACAGTTACATTTTAGAATCATAGTTAGTCATTGTGGTTGATTATGTGAGTAATAAAATAAATATACAATGTAAATAATCCAATTAATCATCATGTTCACTGTAATCTAAGCATGACTATTGAATAGCAATAAGAACGCTTTTTTTTTCTATTCATCGCTTGAAACATTCGCTCCAAGAAAAGTTATAAAAAAAAAACATGCATTATTCTGCAACATCGTAAAACTTATAATTTAGCTTCACATACTGCTTAAAGCTATTTATTTTTCATTTAATGATTGTTAAAAA